AGCTTGCCCCTCGTTTCTTTGGGCCATACAAAGTCCTCCGTCGTATTGGGTCTGTGGCATACGAACTTCAGTTAGCGGAGGGGTCTCAAGTTCATAATGTGTTCCATGTAAGTAAGCTCAAGCTCCACACAGGAACAATTCCATCATCAACTGCAACCCCACCAACTATTTCCGACTATGTGTCGTCGACCCCTCAGCCGGAGCTTATACTTGACCATCGTGTCATACAAAAAGGCAAGTACCGTCCACGGAACGAAATATTGGTTCAATGGAAGGGCGGAACCCGCGACAATGCCACTTGGGAAAATGAGTGGCGTTTTCAATGAACATATCCTGACTTCTCACCTTGTGGGCAAGATGCCTTAAGGGAGGAGGAATGATATGTGCTCTCCAACACAAAAGTACTTGAATGCACGAAGAGAGGAGGTGTGGCCTGATGTGTCATCTATTTTCTTTGCATTAGTTTCCATGCTTATTTTTTATTATTTGAGTCTGCACATTTAGTTAAGTGGGCAAGTTGTTCCTTAATTATCGCATAAGAATAGGTCAAGTAGTGGATCTATGGATTAGTGGTGGTTACCCTCATGTAGCTATTTATTCCTGCATTGTTACTTTTAGAGTAATAAGATATATCAAACAATTATCCCAACTCTACTTCTCGTTTCTTTCCTTCTGTCCTCTGTAATAGGATTTGAAACTATCATGGCGCTGATCGGAGAAGAAAGAACGGTGATGGGGTCTGCGGTTGGCGGTCTTGCATCGGGAACGAAGAAGAGGGCTGGGATTTGGGAAATAACGCGTGAGTTTTTTTATACGTCTAGGGTTTTGTGCTCTGAAATTAAACTAACGTGTCCGAGTAAAAACACACTTTTCGGGCCAACTTGCTCCGAATTGAGATATGTTCGTGTCGTTAGATTTGATTCGTCGATCCCTACCCAATGATATAACTTTTATATTCAGTTGACAAACATTTATACATTTCACTAGGTTTGTCTTAATTGTTTTGATAAATTAGTACCGATCAGTCCTTAAATTTAAATCTTTACCAATATAATCAGATTAGTTTCGTTATATTGAGACTATTAGAATCTCTAAAGTATATTTTAATTCTTTATAAGAATAAATTGTCATAAATAAATAATTCTTATTTATTTAATTAGCGAATAACTTCTAGAGCGGTTTTCAGGGCGTTACAATAGGTACCGTCCGGCCAAATTTTGGCTAAGTGCACAAGTATTCAAACAGTACCCCATACCGCTACATTAAGCAGCTACCGACTGTTAGAACCATAGCTCAGCCCAAAATGAACTATGGCAGTACCCCCCACCATAAACTTTGTTAGGTGCCAACGGTTAGAACCATAGCTCAGCCCAAAATGAACTGTGGTGGTACCCCCTACTGTCTTAACGGTACCGAGGTACCGCTTGAGGCTTAGGAAATTCAAATTTGAACTTCCAAACGGGACTTGTCACGAGACCCTATACCGTCAGTAACGGTACCCCCTACCGTGACGGTACCTGACTACCGTTACAGGTACCGGATTTGTTGGGTTACTGTTCCTGATTGATTTAATTAATACCAATCAACCTAATTTGTCTCCCAACAGCTCCTTAAAAGTTCAAACAACAACACCCCTCCTAAGCCTCCCCTTAAAAAACAACAACACCCCTTAACGTACATTACATTACATAAGCTCATTCTTGATCATTTGTGTGTTCTAAGCTTTAAAGTTCCTGATTTTTTATTCTTTTGAATTTAAAGCTTTGATTTCTACATTCTTTAAACACACACACACACACACCAAGGGCTTTTGTGTTTCATCTTCTTATCTTGCTTATAGACAATTGTTGTTGTTTTTATATTTTGTTCTTCTCCTACCCAATCATATTATATATTACTTTGGTAGAGAAACAACAAACTCTTTTCATTACTTTGTAAAAGGTGTGGATATCCTTTAAATCTTCATTGTAAGGTTAAAGATAGTCTTTAAATCTTCGGTTGTAAACGGTTGAGATAGCTCGTATAAAATCTCATTTGCTTATGATGATGATGATGATGATGACGATGATGATGATTGTGGTCCCAAAGTGGTGAGATACAAAGTCTAGAGGGGGGGTGAATAGACTTTGTTACAATTTTAAAACTTTTTCGTTTCTTTTGAATATGTGAAAATAGTGTAAATCTAGAGTTCTTGGGAACTTTAGATTGTGTGCGGAATTTGGTGGGTAGTATGAGCAGCAATCATAATGGATGGGTTAGTTTTTCACATATAATATAGTTGCAAGTAAGAGTAAAGATAAAAGAGAGAGAGACACGCAAACTTTAACGAGGTTCGAAGGTGGGGTAATCCTTCTACGTCCTCAAAATCCACTATGTAGTTGGTTATTGAATAATGAACCAACAATTACACTTGTGTGTTAAAGACGTGCCATATAGAAGCGTTCCGGTTTCAACGATGACGTGAGCACGACCGAAACAACAAGGAAGCTTCCAGTGCGAAGAAGTTGTTGACGTTCTAGGCTTGTTATCCTGGACGTTCTAGTTGAACACTCTTTCAACTAGATGGGGGAAAATTAGTTCTTCAAACTAGTTTTCAATATAGGAAGTTCGTGGTGTTGTACTTGAGGCAAGGAAACCTTCAAGTGTTTACACTATAGCTCTTTGGAAGGAGGAGGAGTTTACTTCTCGATAAGAAGTTTTAGAAATTTCTCTTTATCAAGCTTATTGGGCTAACTGTGAATGAGATAGCTTTGTTATTAGAGATTGCTTCGTTGTGTTCGTCTATCTCGTTATATCTTCTCCAGTCTTCCAAGGTTGCTATTTATAGCTGGATTGGATAATCTATCCGTTGAATCAAAATAGACTATCCGTTGCATTTGCTGGCTTCAATTTTGAATGAAGATTGTGATTGAGGATTCCTCATTGGAGTGGGTGTTTGGACATACCCAATTGTTTGAGAAGGGATTCCTTTTTCCACAGAATCCGTCTTCTAGCTGTTGTTCAAGAATTCTGGACTGTAGCACATTACTCATTTTGTCTTCTAGTGTTTGTTTAGGAATTCTGGACGAGCTCTTTAATTTGAGGGGTCCAGACTTTGTCTTCAAGTCATTTGTTCTTGAATCAGCTTAATTATCTTCAATCTAGCCGTTGAAAATCAAGAGATTGATTTTTTCCTTACCAACGGGTAGAATTTCTTCATTCAAGACTTAGAATTTTTCTAAGTCTTTTCTCACTTGTCCGCTTCTGAGAGTTTCGATCTTTTCTTGAAGCATCCGGTTCTTTTGCTGACAAATCCGGAAGAGTCATTCACAGACTTCCGGGTGAGAAAGAGATCTGCGCTAGTCTTCCGATTTGAATGACTTAGCCTTCAGCGGGTTGTAGCGAGACATCCGGTTATTATGTAGTGTTCCGGATTAGAGGATCTTCATCTGCTTTGAGAAATCCTTACTTGTCTCTGACATTTCCGATCAAGATATCCAATTTCCATATCACAGAATTTGATTAAGTTTTCGAGCATAAAACCACTTAAAGAAATATCACAACTTTATTGGAAATCTCATGAACTTGGTTTAACAATATTTCTAAAAAGAAAGATTACATTGAATATTGGAGGAGGCCTAAAGTCCCTATTACAATCTAAATACATCATCATCAAAATCTATAATATTTTCCCAACAATGATGATGACGACGACGACAACGACGACGACGACGACGACGACGACGATGACGATGACGATGACGATGACGATGACGATGAGGATGAGGATGATGATGATAAAAATAAAAATAACAATAATTCATAATAATAATAGTTCGTGATTAGATCTGATCTGATTGGATCTTATTGATTTGATTAGATCTGTCTGGTCTGATTTTAATAAGAATAAGAATAAAGAAGAAAAAATAAAGTGAACGAAACAGGGCCTAAGTCTAATTCAAATGCAAATTTCTTAGCAGACTTGCATTCTCCTCAATTTTTAAATAGCATATGAGCATCGGGTGTGCCAAATCATGAATTGAAGTTAAAGGTAAGAACACTCATCATGTTGTTGAGGAATATTGACCAATCATCAAGTTTGTGCAATGGAACAAGGTTGATAGCTACCTGATTTGGACAATCATCTCATTTAAGTGACGGTGCTAACAGAGAAAATATTGGTCAGAAAGTTATTATCCCATGCTTGTTACTTCCACCGTTAGATACGAGAATTCCTTTTAAGTTTGAAAAGAAAAAACTCACAATTTTGATTTCATATGCAATGACAATTAACAAAAGTCAAGTTCAATCTTTGTCGCATGTTGGGGTTTTACACAAGTCGTTATTCAGTCATGGACATCTTTATGTGGCAATTTCAAAGGGTTAAAGATTTTGATTTGTAATAAAGACTTTGCATCATCAAACCAAACTACAAATGTTGCTTAATAATCACGGAAAGTTTTGATGATCCAAAGCATTAACTGTTGCTACCATACTTAGATCAAGTCAGAAAACCCCTTCGCACTGCATTTCGTAGCGCGGCGAGTTTGATCTTCTAATGTAAAAAATGTAGACTAATAAAAAGATATCTCCACAAAGTTTGGCAAACAAGCTTTTTCGTTCTCCAACTCTTTTAGGACCAAAAGGCTATCCCAATGGGTGTTCACCAAGCATTTATAAATTGTTTGATCCAATATTTATCTATAAAAAAACTCTGGGTCGGATCTGATAAACATTGGGTTGCACCCAAACCACGAATGAATTACCCTAAGAGAAAACATCACTCATTTCGTTGAAAAATGTTACTCTGACCTTACTGATGAATCTCTCCAATGGCATTTGAATGCCCCGGAGCCTCCCTCAACATTTGAGGACAATTCTCACCTTATCACAATTGCCAAAGTTATTACTTTCCAGCAATAGACGGAGTTTCATCATTCAAATATGCAAGAAATGATGAGTAAAAGCATATTTCTTCAACTAAACTGTCAATTGCAAGAATGTAAATTAGATCTGTAAAGGGATGTCACAAAATTTTATTTAAAAAAAAAAAGAAATTTGTTTTGTAACCCTAATATTCACTATACTTCTCAATGGAATCAAACCTCGTGGAGGTGAAATGGACAAAAATGGCAATTGCAAGACGGATGCTCAATGCTACTTCTTATCCAAACTATCCGTTTTTTTGGACGCTAAACCCGTGCATGCAACGCAAGCTGTTGGAGGGGGCACATCATCCGAAACAGTTATTCGAAACGTTTGCTGCTTCTCTTCCTTTCCAGGGACATGGACGAGAGCTTCCATAATGAGGATTTCCCAATTACAAGGCCAGAAAAATGAAATCCATGTATCATCTATGCCACATAAAAACAAAAAAAATGGCATACATTAATCTAACATCCTAAAACATTCTCAAATTAGATACCAATTAAATATCAAATGAACGAGCATCTCAGCAGGAATCATAGTTAGGAAGGTACAATTTTGTTGAAGATGAGAAAAAAAAATTAATCCAACATTGGATAGTGTGTTGTGGGTGGCACGACAAGTGGGGGACATTGAGAGTACCCCGTGAGATAAAAGTTCCTGGAAAAGTACGAGGTACATCCAGGACGTCATTTCTAGGAGTTGCGTACTAAATCACTACAGAAAATTTGCTGAGTAAAACATGGCATCTCAGTTTCCAATCAGGACTGCGAAGACAGTAATATTGTTACTTACTTGTGCCTCTTTCAAGACATTTGAAATAGAAATATGTCCAAATACATTTCTAATTCAAGTATTACAACCTCCTAGGACATAAATTTGATAAATCAAAGACTAAGTTCCTCTAGATGTCTTAAACAATCGGGAGCATGGTCTTCTGTATTACACATCAAATACAAGGAAGGGCATGACCATAAATACTGTTGGACATGAGCTACAACTGGAAATTTAAGCTTCATCTTGCTGTTCTCCCGGTGAATCGACAAGAGCCAACAAAAAAAGGGAGGACTTGACAGAGTACCAAGGGTTGTGTTTCTAGAAGTGGAGGATTACATGTGGAAGTTGCTCTATTTTAGAATTTTCCATACTAAGTAGTGTTCACATCGTTGTATGGGTGGCTGGTTTCCTAGGTGTTTATGGCTAAACAATTACAATTGTATAGTCAGATAAACTTCAGAATGAACTATAGACTTAAAGGAAAACATCATGTAGTATGCAGAGCATTATATATATGTCATCTCAATAGTGCTTGAATGAAGGTTTAACATAACATATGGAGGCATGAAAATGCTTTAGAAAGAAAGAAATGAAAAAATTATAATAATAACATCAATCACCTCCATTACAAACTGCCTTTAACTGAATGATCCCAGACCCTTGTGGACCCGAAACGGGAAATGAGCAGGATACAGAATGCCTTAGGTGAGACACTCCCAAAGATGCATTATACCATGGTCCTCTGACAATGGGAACTCCAATAGACTCTATTATGGCCTTGTTCTTACTAGCTTTCTCTAAGGCCTTGCTGAAAGAAAAAAAGTATGCAATAAAGAATGAAGTAAGGTAGTATTTGGGAACTAGAAGTTCATTTCAATTCTTGTATTTCAATTCCAAAACCTGAATTCTTGTATTTCAAATTACAAGGGGAGAGATATGGATTTACAATTGAGCTTTCTAATGAGTTAGAAGAATTTATCTCAAATCCAAATCCAAATAATTTAAGATTTCCCAAGCAGAGTATTTGAGACACATCCAAATTGTAGTTGCAAGCATGCCGTAAAAGAAACAGGACACACTTGAAGGATTCTGGTTTAGATATGGCAGAGCTTGGGGCATTCAAGATCATTAATCTTATCTGTCTTATGTTCTTCAGGACTAACAACAGGCATGTTGGTAAGTAACTGTAGTGTGAAGACCATATTTTTTTAATCCCAAAACACCATAAAAGGAAAAATCTAAGCAAGAACAGCTTTAAAAGGAAGAATCTAATAATACTACCTGCTACAACTGTGATAAATTGAAAGATCCTGAAGTGCACTAAGAGCAACACCTCCTGTCACACAAATCAATGTCCCCGATACCACCCTTCGCCCCCATATTTTGGCCTTACTTTCCTCTATCTTGCTCTTTGTCGAACTAAAAATTGAAATTTGAAAACAGTCGATAAAGTTGAAAAACCCAGCACCAGAACTACCGAACGAATAAATCGAAAATCAAAATAATGATAAATTTCTTACGGCATGCGCTTCAGGAATGAGAAAAACCTTCTTCCTGACATTGCTATTGATTCTTTTCGCTGTAGATATTTTGCGTCATGAAACCCTAAATCCCCAATTGAGATGAATTAGGAGTGTCCGAAAACATAGAAAAAATATGAAGCTTCATTTTTTGTATTTCTTTGTAATGTGACATTGTACATGTGTACATTAGTATACTTTTTTCTAATGTACATGACCATATTTGGTAATATAAATGTATTTTAACTTTTATTTCGAGAATAAAAACATGTAAGTCTTATTTTGATTTTTTTAAATTTTTTACTCTTATTTTAGTTTTTTCCCCTATTTCTTTAACATTTTTTGGGTAAATTATCTCAATCTCATCTTTTTGCATTTTTCAAAAAACAATTTCACTTTTCATCGTCACAAAAAATAATCCCACATTTTGTCATGTGTGCAAGTTTTGGGTCTCCATTGGAATGTTAACGATTACATAATAATTTTTTTAGAAAATGCTTATTTTTTGCAAATAAATGAAAGGTGGAATTATTTTAGGTAAAATCTTCTTTTTTTGTTTTTCTAATTTCTAAATTTAAAATTTAAATGTATTTTTTCAAATGTTTTTATAAATAATACTACCTCAGTCTCATTTTAAATTGCCTGTTTGCCTTTTTTTCCGTCTCAAAATAAGTTGTCTGTTAGTTATTTTCATTGACTTTTAAGAATAAAATACCTAAACTACCACTAAAATAAGTCACTCTTCTCCTACTTATCTTCTCATTCATAGTCATCCCTTCTAAAAAGTATTGACAATTTCGAAAAATCAACTCTATTTTTTCTATTCCTTAAATATGCTCAAAAGTCAAAACAGGCGATTTAAAACGGGACGAAGGGAGTACCAAATTTGAGTGCTTTTCTTATTAAAACTAATTATTTGTTCAGGAATCGATAATCTAGTAATAATTGTTCTTTCAAAATAATATTTCAAAAATTGTGAAATTGAACCATAAATTATTCTATACAATGAAACTAATTTATTTACTTCAGAACTCACTGCATTTTTACGTAAGTTGTAATTATTTTAAAAAATGCACTATAAAACTACATTTTTGTTGTATTCTATTTTTTTCATTAACAACACTCCGAAATGTTTATCGATAATCGTTTATTACCCGTATTATTTTTTCTAAAATGGCGCTACAAAGCATGTGATTTTTTTATAATTCAGTATAAATTTTTTCCCCAAAATAACAATTCAAAAATTGTGAAAATAGTACAATATTTTTTTATCCAAAACGGAACTAATTATTTTAACAACTCCATATAACTTTTTGTATTGAAATTTCTTTTTCGAGCAATACTTTACACTATTTTTTAATAATCCAATATCGTATTTCCTCCAAAACAGAACACAAAATTTGTAAATCGTTATATGATGGATACCCTGGAATGGGGTATCCGGGCCAACAGGAATAGCAGCCCAATCTAATTAAGATTAGGCCAACTCATCGGGGCGGATCTAGGTTGAAGTCTCAAGGGGGCTGCCGCATCAAAATCTACCCGCGCTCGCCCTCGGGCCACGGTCGGCCTGCCCACTGTCGGGAGTCTCGAGCATATGTACTCGGCCTCGGAGTAGGATGCCACTGAACCGACACCACAAGTATATGAGCCGCCTGACTAGTCAAATCAGGGGGGCCCCGATTCGACCCTGCCACGCCACTGCAAGAATGGTTGCAGCCACCCTACTTGTAACCTATCTTGTATAGCCACACTAGGAGTAATGATGTGGTTGGCGCCGCTGGTTAAACGGCCAGATCTTAGTGGGCCCGATCTGTTGGACTCTGGACCAACGGTCGGGAACCCCATTACCCCATTTGTAACTTGCATATAAGCCCCTTTTGAATAAGGGAAAAGGACATGTTTTAATACGCACTAATACTCACAATCTTACTTGATTCCTAACTTGAGCATTCTTGACTTAGTTCAATACTCTTTCGCCTAGTCTCCTAGGCCCCCGGGTTCCATAACCCAACATTATATTTTAAAAAAATCGTTAATAACATAAATTTAAAATTTAAAATTAAAAAAATTAAAAAGTAAATTTGGCTAAAATTATCTCACATTTTGTTTATTTGTGAAAAAATATGCATCTTTCAAAAATTCCACTAAATGACTATTAGCTTCTTAACGACGACTCATAAGTCACACACATGTGAAAAGATGGATTATTTCCACTGACAGTAAAAAGTTGGATTATTTAAGAGAATTTTAACATTCTTTTTTTGAAAGGTGAGATTATTTTGGTGATAGTGAAAAATTGTGAAAATGTGGGATTATTTAAGATAATTTTTTATTTTTTTAACATTCTTTTATTTTGGTATCGTTTAGGCTTTAACATGCACAAAATGATGTCCATCGGCATAAATTCTTTTTTTTGGTATCAAACCTTTAAAATGACTAATTTTTAGAAGCTCTATATTCTCATGTGTCGAACGTAAATTTTATTTTGGATGTATGTTCAAAATTTGTTTAGTTTTATTACTCTTTATTACTACCTCCGTTTCCCAAAAGAGTTCCTCTTTTGACTTTGGGGGAAAATAAGGAAGTGTTAAAATTGTAGTTGACTTTCCAATTTTGCCCTTGATGTGATGGGTAAAAATAAGATGTGATAGTTTAGTTGTTAGTGAAAAAGTATGATATGATAGGTAGGGTATGAAAAAGTAGGGGTAAAAGTGGTTTTTTAATATAAAGTGGAAGTGTTTTAAGAAAAACAAAAAAAATGAAAGAGGAAGGATTTTAAGAAACCGATGGAGTATATTAAAGTGGGAATGCTAAATGTATGTAAATCTTTAAATTTGTTTAACTAGCTATATTTCATTTTTCATTGTATTTTCTAACGTAAAACAAAAGATAACAATTAACAAATGATTTCCTATGTTTGAAAGTTGGATCATTGAATATCCTAAAAGTGGAAAGAGTTGGCATTTTATTTGAATTTTACTATATTCTGTTTATCGTGTTCCAAGGCATCGATATGATTTGTTTCTTACTCGCCCAAGTGTTTATTAGTATATAGTCAAACCCTATAAGAATCGTAAATGCTATTATAGATGTTAAAAAAATGATAGAATCTTCAATCTATTGCTTTTTTTTAATTAAGAATTAATCTTTGGTTATGCTTATCCTGCCGCGAGTGGTTTAAATCTATGCAAATGAACATGCATGGTATTCGACAACTTTGTATTTTTTTCCAGTATAGGTAATATGTATTGTGTTTTTTAACTCTTGAAAATACTTAATTGTGACATTGTTTCAGAATTAACCTCCCTCTTCAACTTTTTAGGATCATTATTGCAATAATGGAGGTTTCTGAAAAGATTGATGATGTCTTTCTTTCTTGGTAACACACTTTTCTTTCTGGATGAGCCTTAGGGATTGTGATTCATTTTTGTGTCAAACAATGAAAGCTCTTAGTTAAATTTAAACATTCTACTCCCTCCGTCCCAATTTAAATCGTCTGTTTTGATTTTTGGGCATATTTAAGGAAAATAAAAAATAGAGTTGATTTTCCAAAATTGTCATTACTTTTTAGGAGGGGTGATGATGAATGAGAAGATAAGGTGAAAAAAAGTGACTTATTTTAGGGGTAGTTTAGGTATGTTATTTTTAAAAGTTTACGAAAACAACTAACAGACAACTTATTTTGGGACAGAGAAAAAAAGCAAACAGACAATTTAAAATGGGACGGAGGGAGTAATATTCACCATACCATTTTTTTGTGATTATGTTCTTTTGGATAAAACAGTTTTTTGATTTTATGTTTGAATGGTGTAATTATATATATCATTGATTCTTTAAACTTTTTAATGTTATATGGAAGATTAATGCTTATAAATGCTCATTCCATATTAAGTATTAGTATTATAAAATGAGTAACAATCATAGGGAAAAATGTGAATAAAGTTTGATTATGTGAATAGTAAATATGTAACTTAATTTGAAAAAGAAAGAATAGAAGTTATAGACTTTGTTTTCATCATTTGTCATTTTAATCTATTTTCACATTACATGTTTCTTTATTCAACTTATTTTGTATGGATATTCTTCTCTAAGGTAATAATTACAGAGTGTTTAATTTTATACTTATATTTGAATTGTTTTAATTTGATTTTTATAAAATATTTTCACGTGCATCGCACGGGTACGAATATGATCAATCATTTGAATCGTCCCAATTTTGAGGCCAAAAGGTAGACAATCTAAAAGCATACCAAATACTCCTTCCGTCCACCTAAGATCTTCCCATTACGCGTTACGAGGCTTGACCGACTTTATTTTGAATTCAATCTAATTGATTATAGGAGTAAAATTTTAAAATAAAAGTTATATAGTAATAAACTACATGAAAAATTCTACAAAACTAGAAGTGACAAGACTATATTATTTTATGAAATGACTAGTAAAAATGAGTAAATAAAGTGAGTAAAGTTTGACCCTGTAATTAATGTCTTGAAAGATCTATGGTGGATAGAGGGAGTACTTGTATATATATATGAAGAAATTGAATAAAAAAGAAGAAAAGCGCATTACTTTACCCCTTCTATGTATTCGTCCATAGTCTGCACCGTCGTCAAAAGTTCTCTTCCAGAATTCAACCGTTGTCGTCCATGGGTGAGGCTAAAGTGAGTAGCTAAAGTAGTCCGATGTCCCCAGCTCTTTATTCCAACCTCTCTTTGAATTGTTTTCTCTGATAATCTTTTCTTAAACCTACACAAAAGGGGAGCGGCGGCTAACGTGAGGTAAAGGCTAACATAGGCTAACGTGAAACCTACACTAAAGTTCTCTATGACTCATGGAATCCTAATTAGTCATTATTTTCATCAATTCTTTTTTATAAAATAAATAATACTTCCTCCGTCCCCCAGTATTTGTCCACTTTTATTTTTACACATCATCCAATGCACTTTTTAAATCCATTTTATCTTGTAATTTGTATATTAAAAAATTGTAGAAATTATATATTAATAATCTATATGTTAAGACAAATTAAACAAGATCACACATGACGATATTTAAGCTTACACATTGAAAGAATTTGATGAGTCAAAGTGCTTAGATGAACAGTTTCAAAATTCAAAACTGGACAAATATTGGGAGACGGAGGGAGTAATACAAGCTATCTTTTATAGAATTTATTTTGATTTCATTTTGCAATGTACTCGAATAAAATTTATTTATTTAATTATATACTCCATCAGCCCCAAAATTAAATTACTTATTTACTATCATGTAGTCATACTTTATTTAATTTATTTCCTTATTTTTGGTGATGATTTGATAGAATAATATAATCATGTCACTATTAATTTTGTATGTTTTTTGATGTATTCTTTAAGTATGCAATTTTTATTTTTTAATTCAATCCTGTTTTTCATATAATATGATTCGACGAATTAAGTAGTTTAAATTGGGACGGTGAGAGTTCAAATTTTCATATAAATTAAAATGCACAAAGTAAAATAATTATAGTTCATATTTGGGAGCATTCTCCAAGCAGGACCAAAACATAGGTCCATTCCTAAATACAGTAAGAGCTTGTTTGGGAGTGATTAACTTCTGGATAAAGTGATTTTCACAAAAGCTGAAAGCAAAAGCATCTCATACTTGCTTCTCCAAAACGGTGTTCTGTGTATAAAATAGTGGTGGTGAAAAGCAGAAGCTGACATGCCAAACAGAATAAAATCACTTCCACTCAAAGCAGAAGCTAAATTACTAAAAGCAGCGCACTTGACCATGTATCTGGACATCGTCAATCGTGCACTTGACCACAGAACGTGTCCTGATGAGGGGAGGGGATCTGAGGCAGATCCTTCGGGCCGAACATGATAGCCTCATGTCTCAGGCTGCATGGACCTACTTCTTCCTCTGCTCGATCGAGTCACCTCCAATGTTGCCACCGTAAATCATCCTCATCTCCTCAACTCTTCTCTGGTTGGGAGCGGAGGCCTCGACCTCACTCCACATTCTTATTAGAAAGTATACAAAATTGCTCTTCTAGAATAAATGTATCATAGCTTTATTTATCCATTCAACCCTCTTACTTTTTAAATATTATACCAAAAAACATTTCACCATTTTAATTGTCTGTCTATAGAATTATTATATTAGTATTTGAAAACAAAGACTATATGTTTATTTTTTTGAATAAACTCCTAAAATGGTTCTTTATAATAGGTTATTTTCCCAAATTAGTTTTCAATAAACAATAATTAACACATGATAATTTATAATTGAGATATTTTTTGATAGTCCTTTGTAAAAATGTCCCTCAAATTATAATTAAGTTTAGTGTATATTGGTATTTTTATCATAAAATTGTGATGAATTTCTTAAAATAGTATTTTCAAATTGAATATTCTAGCAAATCACCCATCATGATTTATAATTATAATATTACTCGAACTATTAGACTATTATCATGAAAAAAAATTATAATTTTAAAGTACCATGTAGGCAACTATTGTTTATTAAGGACCGTACTGTTGAAAAGAAAATTTCTCAATTATGAAATACTACCATATAAGTAATTATTATTTATTGAGGATCAATTTAAAAAAATGTCTTATATATGGGAAAAGAACATTTTGGAAATTTACTCTTTAAAAAAATTTATAAACTTTATATAAATTTTTTAAACTAAACATTTTTACATTTTATGATTTTAAAAAAGTACAGAATTATATAAATGTCGATAAACTGGTATCATTATTAAAACTACAGCTTTTAATATATACGGAGTATATAATAAATAAAGTTATAATATTTTGAAATATATATCTAGTAATTAAGAAATATTTATATTAACTTATGCTATATAGTATGTATTAGAAAATTAAATTAAAAGCTGTAGTTTCAATAATGGCGGACATTTGTTGACATTTACACAAGTCTTTGTTTTTTAGAATTAATAAAAAGAAAAAGTGGTGAATTTTTATTTAATTTTTTATACATAAATCTTTGTTTTAAAAAACATACTGTATAATCTTATTTTATAAATACTAGTAACATAACTATGTAGAATGAAAGAATTAAATTGGTGAAATAAGAAAGTGAGGCTAGAATGGATTAGCCAATAGCCTCTTTTGTTTTTTTCTTTTCTTTTGAAAAAAGTCGAAAAAATATAGTAGAAGGGCAATTTCAATGTTCTCGAAATTTGGTTAACAGGGTTATATTCTCAATTTTTTTAAAAAAGAAAAGGTGTGGAGTGCTACTATCAAACATTTTATCGTTTGTGATACAATTTGATAATAATTTGTGTTATTGAATATTGAGATATATGTCTGTAACGCCCCGAAACCCGGCTTAATATTTTATTTAATTTATAAAATTAATTAATTATTCGTACCACAGGTCAGATTCCCATAACACCTCCGAATGTAAGAGTGTTAAGGGAGTAATCCGGCAGATGAGAGACAGTGGAGAGCTGGCCAAGGATTACTTGCAGAAAGCCCAGGAGAAGAGTCATCAATGGGTTAGGCCAGCTGTCCCGGGAGATGACCGGGACAACGACCGGCGGAGGAATAACCGGCCAAGGGAGCGGCAACCTGCTCCTGAAAAAGAACACATCGGCATGATCTTCGGCGGACTTGAGGGTCGAGATTCAGCCGCGCAACGGAAGAACTGGGTCCGGAGCATTTACGTTGGCGAGGTAAGCGCTGAACCGACCAGGCGTAAACATACTAGGAGGGAGCCGATCGTCTTTACTGACCGGGATCTCCCTCCTACCAGTGAAGATCACAATGATCCATTGGTCATCACCATGGACATTAATGGGGTGGATGTCGCCCGGGTACTTGTTGACACCGGCAGCAGTGTCAACATCTTATACCTGGAGACTTTCCAAAAACTCAGGTTGTGTCGGACACAACTTGAACCCCTGAAGACTCCTCTCTCAGGCTTCACGGGGGACACCGTTGAAGCTGAAGGATCCATAGTTCTACCGGTCGAACTAGGATTAGGTGAGAAGACCGTGTGGAAGAAGATGCGGTTCATCGTTGTAGACATTAAATGCGTCCACAACGCGATCCTTGGAAGACCGGGCATCAATAAGGTCGGGGCGGTGATTTCCATGCCTCACCTGTGCATGAAGTTCCACACTCCAGGTGGTGTGGGTGAAGTGAAAGGTGTTGGGAAAAATATCATAGATTTTGAAGATGATGTATTTAGAATGTAATAGGGACTTTAGGTATCCCCAGATATTCAATGTAATTTTTCCTTTTAGAAATATTGTTAAAACCAAGTTCTTGAGATTTCCAATAAAATTGTGATATTTCTTTAAACGGTTTGATGCCTGAAGACTTAATCAAATTCAGAAATTTGGAATTGGATATCTTGATCGGAAATGTCAGAGACAAGTAAGGATTTCTCAAAGCAGACAGAAATCCTCCTATCCAGAATACTACATGAGAACCGGATGTCTCGCTACAACCCGCTGAAGGCTAAGTCGGAAGACTAGCGCGGATTTCTTTCTCACCTGGAAGACTGAGTATGACTCTTCCGGATTTGTTAGCTAAGAACCGGATGCCTCAAGGAAGACCGGAATTCTCAAAAAGCGGACAAGTGAGAAAAGACTTAGAAAATTATCTAAGTCTTGAATGAAGAAATTCTACCGTTGGTAAGGAAAAACTCAATCTCTTGATTTTCAACGCCTAGATTGAAGATAATTATGCTAATTCAAGAACAAATGACTCGAAGACAAAGTCTGGACATCTAAAAATTGAAGAACCTGTCCAGAATTCCTAAA